TTTAACGGCCAAACGCAACGTACTCGTATGTTATATTAATGGAGTCGATTTTTGTGTCCGCAGAAGTGAAACGCATGAACGCAACGTGTACGCAACGCACCCAAAAATGTACATATGAAAAGGCGACTTAAATCTGCGTTGCGTGCAAACACATCGACAAATCTCAAAATCAATGGGATATTTAAATCTTACAATGACGACTCTAGATAAAATCTTATAGGTCATGTATAACCCACGGACATAAATAGATCAAGATGCAACATGTCAAGAATCAAAAGAAAGTCCTGGGTGGATCCAATGTCTGAATGTACATGCAGGCTATTAATGTTGGCGGTCATTTTGAAAACATGCAAGAACTGTAAAAAGAAAAAGGAGGTGATAGTAGCAAACAAAAGAAAACATCCTATGCGTAGTGCAACCCGTCTGTCCAGGTAAACTGCGTCCCTTTTTGCCCGTTTTAGGCCTTCTACACACACGGCCGGAACTACCCGTACATCAACGATGCTAGCCGTATGTGGACGGGACGAGTTTGGAATATTTCCCCTACTTTAGGAAACTGGAGGAATTCCTCCGATTTTGGTCACGTGGACAATGGGTGATACCAGACACTTGCTTCAACAAGAATCGGAATCATCAGGTCTGGTATCTAGACTATAGTGCGGTAAGATCGTTCCCATGTGAACGAGGTTGGACCCTACATTATCCTGCATGTACATTACAGGGGAGCGCTACACGCGTGGGTGCGTGAAAAGATAGAATCCTGGCTTATGTTATCTCTGATATGAAGTGTGACATGCTTTTTAACACCCCATCACGTGATTGTTCCGTGCTAGTAAAAAAAAGTAGTATTCATTGACAAGCGTGACTGTAGATTTGTTCTCCAGTTTAATGTGATTAAGTGAAAGACGTATTCAAGTAAATTCTTCTTGGAATTTGGAGGTCACTTACACTATAATAAATGTATTTCTTTTCATTTCAATTTGTTAGAAATCTTACAGATATATTCCAGGGATAGCCAAAACCGTAGCAGTGGCGCATCGAAACGGGGATCGGGGGCCTTGAATCCCAAGAAGTTTCGTCATGCTTGTTTGATGTGTAGCGATTTTTTCTGAAAAACACACCTACATCCCCAGCTACTAACCCTGATCGCTGAGGGAAGGGGTGAGCACTATAGGCTATTTGCAGTAGATTCCGGTTCAAGCCCCCACCCCCAACAAATGCTGGCCGCGCTGTTGTCCTTCAATGGCAAGTCTCACCTACAGTGAGAACAAATTGCTGTTTAAAAAAAACAAACCCAGGCCCTAATTTACGTCCATGGAAATCACGATGATTTCCATAGAAACATATCACGTCATGACAAATAATGTGGCAAGTGATAAATGTTCAACTTTTCTTGTGTAGTCATATACAGGTTGTACAAACAATGAGATTTGTGTGACTGGATTAAGATGAACATTTTTTGCCAAGTGACCCCCCCAATTGACAGTCAACATCTGTGTAGTGTTGTCTTATCAGCTTCCGTACTAAAATAACGAAATGGCCCAGAACTTACAAGGTGGGATAAGTGTCAAAACTTTGTTTTAAGGCGTCTTCGGTGTACAAGCTAAGTTTGGCTAATAAACTGCAAGATTCTGCTATGGAAGCATTTTGATTGTGGACGCGTTTGATTTTTCAAATGGAAAGCCAAAAGTTGGAATGTATGTATAATCATGAAACAACATTAGGATGTTTTCATTATTTGCGTCCCTTTCCAACCAACAGTCCACACTGACAGGGCATTATTCAAAGCAGTCTATTCTATTTTGGTTCTGAAATCAGTCACACTCACTCACTGTTCTCTCCTGTGTTACAATGTATCATTAATGAAAAATGAAATTGTTTCACGGCAGAATGCCAAATATTAAGTTTAAAACTTTTTTAAACATGTGCGAGTAGACCATATCTGATAACAGCTTTAAAAGTTATGCCATTGACATTCTCTGACATCGAATGAACAAACAAATAGTCTTATGTTCAACCGAAATAGTTGCATCACCACCCAGCTGGCTACACATTTTTTCAGGAGCACGTACAGCTGAAAGCCCAGAACCTTTGTTATCTTTCAGACATTTTGAGACCAGATTAGTTAGCAAAGAATCTGTTTTTCCAAAANCAGTTTGCAATATTTCCCCTATTTTAGGAAACTGGAGGAATTCCTCCGATTTTGGTCACGTGGACAATGGGTGATACCAGACAATTGCTTCAACAAGAATCGGAATCATCAGGTCTGGTATCTAGACTATAGTGAGGTAAGATCATTCCCATGTGAACGAGGTTGGACCCTACATTATCCTGCATGTACATTACGGGGGAGCGCTACACGCGTGGGTGCGTGAAAAGACAGAATCCTGGCTTATGTTATCTCTAATATGAAGTGTGACATGCTTTTTAACACCCCATCACGTGATTGTTCCGTGCTAGTAAAAAAAAAAGTAGTATTCATTGACAAGCGTGACTGTAGATTTGTTCTGCAGTTTAATGTGATTAAGTGAAAGACGTATTCAAGTAAATTCTTCTTGGAATTTGGAGGTCACTTACACTATAATAAATGTATTTCTTTTCATTTCAATTTGTTAGAAATCTTACAGATATATTCCAGGGATAGCCAATACCGTAGCAGTGGCGCATCGAAACGGGGATCGGGGGCCTTGAATCCCAGGAAATTTAGTTATGTTTGTTCGATGTGTAGCGATTGTTTTCTGAAACACGGTGTAAACACACCTACATCCAAAACTAACGATGATCGCTGAGGGAAAGGGGTGAGCACTGTGGGCTATTTGGGGGTAGATTCCGGTTCAAGCCCCCACCCCCAACAAATGCTGGCCGCGCTGTTGTCCTTCATTGGCAAGTCTCACCTACAGTGAGAACAAATTGCTGTTTAAAAAAACAAACCCAGGCCATAATTTACGTCCATGGAAATCACGATGATTTCCATAGAAACATATCACGTCATGACAAATAATGTGGCAACTGATAAATTTTTAACTTTCTTGTGTAGTCATATACAGGTTGTACAAACAATGAGATTTGTGTGACTGGATTAAGATGAACATTTTTCGCCAAGTGACACCCCCCCTTGACAGTCAACATCTGTATAGTGTTGTCTTATCAGCTTCTGTACTAAAATAACGAAATGGCGCAAAACTTACAAGGTGGGATAAGTATCAAAACTTTGTTTTAAGGCGTCTTCGGTGTACAAGCTAAGTTTGGCTAATAAACTGCAAGATTCTGCTATGGAAGCATTTTGATCGCTGACGCGTTTGATTTTTCAAATGGAAAGCCAAAAGTTGGAATGTATGTATATTCATGAAACAACATTAGAATGTTTTCATTACCTGCGTCCCTTTCCAACCAACAGTCCACACTGACAGCCTGGGGCACTATTCAAAGCAGTCTTGCCGAAGCTAATCACACCAATATGAATACAAATTATGTATTTCTTCTATTTTGGCTCAGAAATTAGTCACGCTCACTCACTGTTCTCTCCTGTGTTACAATGTATCATTAATGAAAAATGAAATTGTTTCACGGCAGAACGCCAAATATTAAGTTTAAAACTAACATACGCGAGTACACCATATCTGACAACAGCCTTAAAAGTTATGCCATTGACATTCTCTGACATCGAATGAACCTTAATAGTCTTATTTTCAACCGAAATAGTTGCATCACCACCCAGCTGGCTACACTAAAAGAGAGGGTCCTAGACTGACAGTGACATCGCTTAGAAGCAAATAATAACAAATTGTTTGCCATTTTTCAGGAGCATGTACATATGAAAGCGGCCAGAACCTTTGTTATCTTTCAGACATTTTGAGACCAGATTGGTTAACAAAGAATCTTTTTTCCTAAACTTCATTTTCTCCTCAATAATATTTTTCATAAGGACATCAGTTATTCAGAACTGGTTAAAGATAAGTCTGTGTGTATCCTCCTTACTCACCTGAATGTGATTTGTAGCTACTGTCCCACATTTCGCTAAAGTGCACACTAAACATTTCTCTAAAATGACAGAGACAAAAAGCCCTGTTCTTAAACAGCGAAGTGTGTCTTTGGTAGAGTGTACAGATCTTCCCCCACCACAAACCGTTTGAGAGCTTGACTTGATTCAATGTGGCCATCGGGCAAGTGGTTTGAGGCTTTGGCGTTTCCACATGCCACCTTGTGCGGCACGGTGTAGAAATCGTCTCCAGCCTGTACACGTGTCAGCGGTCCATGTCGTCCATCCCTCTGCCCGTCTTGGCTTCCTTCGCCAGCATGAGTTGAAGAGGAGGACTGGGATATTGCAACTGTCTCGGCCTCACGCCGGCGTGTGTCGGAGATCGCGTAAAGCGCCTCGCCAACGCGCCTGTGGGCGGGACGTTGGCCAGACAAAGGAGGGGTATTCCGAGCACTCAGGGGTGTATCTCCACCTTCTCTCTGTAAGGTGTAACTACTGTATATGTGAGCATCGCTTCTTGGGAATGGGATAAAGCGTCTCAGGGTGGGGGCAGCTTGATCAACGTGTCGAGATCTGCTTCTGTTGGTTTTACGTTTACGATGACAGAAGACGACAGAAATGATTATAGCTCCAAGGAACAGTACGGCGAGGCTGCCGCCGACAGCAGCCCAGAGTACCATCGGCCGCTGTGTAGCGGTAGTGGGGGCGCTGGTAAGGTGCGTTGGTTCGTCTCTTTCCATGGAGATCGTGCTCCATGTCGATTCGCTTTCTTCATCCAAAGTCTGCTCAAACAGTAGAATCCTGTGCCAGGAACTCTGTTGGTCACAGTCTGGAAAGAAGGTAACCTCACATTGAATTCT